AAGTAGAAATACCTTACTTCCCATAATATACCTGATATCCCAAGCGTGCATCTAAAACAGCGATTGAGTTTGTACAAGGACATTGGTTATTGTTGACATTGTTTTTCGCTTGAAAACTCCAAATCCCGAGACAAAGTTGCAAAGAATTTGCTGCTATGAAGATGTTAACGAGAAAGAGTTAGAAATAGAATGTCTATATTTGGAAAACTAATAGTATTCCAGAAGTTTTGATAAAAAACCGAGTTGGAGACGCATTTCCAAATGTAGAAATTGCATTGAGAATCTTTTTAAACATGATGGTAACTAACCGCAGTGGCGAACGCTCCTTCCTTAAACGGAAAAGAATAAAAAATATACGCTTAAAGACAAACAGTTTGAACAACTGGTTGACAATTTTGCATATCTGAAAACTAGAAGGGTGCCTTTTCAAAAAACACAATTTTAAGTACCAACCTGAGAATGATATTAGAGTTAGTTTTTCGAGTCATATTACAATTGTATATTCATTTATGTGAATATAAAGAAACAAATAACAAACCAAAATGATTCTCTGTGAAAGCTGTAGGAGGCCCGGTAGGCTTATGTGCCCAGGGCCTCCAATAGGTTAAAGACGGCCCTGCATCTATTTACCTAGTCTAGGGGGTTTACCCCACGTAAGTTTTTAAATTACCAAAATCGGCATTACCGACATACTAGGCGACATACATTTTAGTTAAACAACAACAGATGATGCGACGACGGTTCTAATTACCGGCGGAATTCCCCACTAGTTATAGCGTATACAGGTAGGTGACTGTAGGTGACCTACCATCTACCATGTGATGCATTAGACCTATTACTATCTATGCCTACTACCCTAGACAATCGTGTAGAAACTGCAAAAATAAATACCTATCCTGTATAGGTACTGTTTCTGCTCTTATTACACTAACTACTTTTTAACTTTTTTTGTTAAATAAAACAAAAGTCAAGAAGAACTTTACAGTGCTTTTGAGTTATAACACTCTTGGACTCTACGAATAACAAAAATTAAATTTGCGTTGGTTATCTTTCCACCAAAATATTATTCAAAAAGGTAATGTTAATTTCGTGAAATAATATTCTTAAAAATATTGTACTAAATGAAACTTTCGCCCATTTTCATGTAACCATAGATAAGAGATATAAAGACGGTCGACAGAGTATAACCGGTATAACCACTGAACTAGAAGCGCATCTAATTAAAAAGGAAGCTATTAACCATTTATTCAAATCTTAATTGCTATAGCTAAAGTGACAATGCTAAAAGTAAAAGTGTAACAAGTTTTCTATCAACAATATATATTAATGGATGATTGAATGAGTGGTGTTCTCAATGGTCTTTGCGTATCTTATCGTTGATCGGAACGTGGTTGCCGAGCCGTCTGACCAATGATTCTCGCAACTGCCGGTAATTTAACCACCACAGAAAACTCATTTTTACGCCACCTTTTAAGTAGAGTGTGCACTAGAACACAAAAGGCGTGGAATTTAAACAGAATCTCTTTAATAATTGATGAAGTTGGAATTTAACATGTAATAAGAATGCACTTTCACGAATTATAGTGAAAGGAACAAAAGAACACAGTTACTATAGTGAATTGGCTTGTATAGTAGGGCAAGCTTAGTTCTACCATGAAATACATATTCCTTACACCAATAAATGATAAGGTGACGCTCATTTTGTTATCTATAGAAAAACATTTTTCAGATAACTTATTTGAGTAATTTACTTTTAAAAATTTTAGGCGGTCCAGTTGTTGACTGCATGGTGTGGACTTGCACCGTTGCTCTATACTACAATGGTTTCGTCCTTTTCCAGGCCCTTGCTGTAATCTATGAAAGGTAACTACTAAGAAGTTAAATACCATAGCTGCTTGTATTTATTTTTAGTTCAACGGTCCAAGTTTTTATTTTTAGGATTTATGTTTTATCTTTTTGGTTAATTCTTAAATAAAAACTTAATTTAAAAAAAATCTGTTTTACTATTCCTACACATATAATTAGCGGAATCAGTAATAACAGATTGATAAAATTTAATATTAATTTCTGTTTGTTATGAAAAAGAATAATTTGTATCGCATCTACACTACACAATAAATACGTAGACAATGTGATCGGTAATAAATATATTTTTACAGTTTTAACATATTTCATAAGAGCAGTATAAAAATTATAAATTAAATTGAACTTTTAACAACAAAAAAAAAAGAAAAATAAATTAGCTATATACATGCATACAATTACAATTCTTATTATAATTAATAAATAGCTAATTTGAATATTAAAAATAATAACCACGTCACATATCTCAATTGAGAGAAAAATTATGTAATTAAAGCCGCATTACGCTCATATAATATATTGTAGTTTTTTTTAAATAAACACTGTGGGACATTCCCGACAATAACATAAAATGGAAACAGAGCAGTCCAGTTTTGGAAATAGCTGATGTATTAAGTAACATTGCAATTACTTAGAGTCAGCATCCTACTATACATCAATGTGATAGAGCTGTGATAGGAAGTATGCCGCTCCATCTTTTTTCTTTATAACCCGGTTTGATTGCTTCTTCCTTTCTTAGCCTCTCTCTTTCTCTTCAGGCAGACGTATTTATACGGCAATTGGGCCGCATTATTAGAAAGAAAAAAGGATGGAGAGGCACACTTCCTATTTTTCTCTGCGCTCGATCATAACATAATGAATAGAATGCGGACTCCAGGTATATTACGCTCTAAGGTTAATTAAAAAAATTATAGTCGCATGAGATAACCTTGTTTTTCAAAACAAATAAAGATAAAATGGGAGAAAATCATCCCTTATTTCTACAAGAGGAATGCAAGCTACACTAACATGTATTTTTTTATTATTCTAAGCAAAGTTTGCTGCCACTGTTTATTTGATCAATAAAAAACACCTTCAAGATTAAAAAATATCAACAATAAACAATAATAAAATGATGTCAGCCGGACCATTGAATACGTAGATGTGTCTAGATACAATTTATTTATATAAATAATAAAATGTATTTACCACCTTTTCATAATATCATTATGATAAAATAACTAATTATAGGGTGTTGCAAAGTTACAAATATTATTAGAAGTAGACAGTAATTAAAGCTGAATAAACCTAATTATTATTTTTTTCAGTAAATGCTAACGATCGTTGAGCGACAGCTTTTTAATTTAGTTTGATAACTACTTGACAGGTATGCTTTTTTTCTTAAAACCCTGTATATTCAAATACTCGCAATAGAAATAGCAATAGCAATAGCAACATAATAAATAGATCTATGTAGAAACGAAGGTGGTACATATTTTTAATTGGTACTTATCTTCTTTTCTTTCATTTCCTATTATTTTCCTTTAAGTACCGAAATACACAGAAAACAATCTAAAAAGGATCATACTTTTTCTTTTTATCTCAGACTTGGCACTGATGTCAGAGAGCTCATGCTGGACAGGGGAGTGTTGGAAACAGATAAATTAAGCTTTTCTAATTCTTCCCCGATCTGATTATTCCTTAACTCTTGAATTGTGTACAAGAATTTATTCCATTCGTCGTGTCGGGGATGTGCGAAGTTCTATAATTAATTTAATATGATGCAGTATTAGAATGAAAATAAACAAAAATTAATAAATCAAAGAAGGGTTACACCTAACATATAAATTGGAGACGAAAAACGAGAAGTCATCGATTGTTGATATTAGGAAGCGAGATAAGTCAGGATGGCAAAAGTGTAACAGACATAAAACCATAATGAAAGCACATTGTGTTAGCGAACAGTTAATGTAGACATTCGAAAACAGTTGTTAGCGCATATTTGGAGCACGGCTCTATACGGGTGTGAATCGTAGAAAGTGGGTGCGTCAAAAGAAAAGAAGCGTTTGAAATAAGGAGATATAGCACACAGGCAAATGTAGGGAAACAGCAACTGCTGTGGAAGATAATAAAGAAAAGAAGGAATAGGACGGTCATTGGAACGATAATGAAATAGTACAAAAGTTATAACTAAAGAATAAATAATTACCTCAGCTATATCGTAAACCCAAATTTTTCCTTGATTATCGCCGACCGTGACGTGTAGCCCAGAAGGTGTCCACGAGACCCTATTTAAGGCGGGGTTACCTTCTACTGTCAAACTGGCAGCAGGCACTTCGGTATCTTGATTCAAATTCCACAGATCCAAACGACCGCCCCCGTCTACAGCGGCAAACAGAGCTGGATGAGAAGGAGACCACGCAACATCTAACACATAATCGCTATTATCCTCGAATGAATAAATAGGTTTGTTATCCTGCAAATAAAAGCAAATTAGTAGTTATTACAATTAAATACTTTTAACATAGGTTACTTTTAAGCTCCACAGTTTGATAGTCCAATCGATAGAAGAAGTGAGGAAGAGATGGGAGAAGTCGATGCCTCCTTGAACAGCGTTCACACTAATGCCGGTAATCGGACCTTGATGGGCTTCGTATGTGTCGACAATGCCCGCTTTAGCGCCGTGTCTACAGGCCGAATACGCGGCCCCTTCTTCACTGCCTACCACAAAATTGTTTACGTCGGAATGTGGAAAGTCCAGACAAGTCACAGCCACTGGTTTCGATTGCATTCGGTGTAGTTCGAGTGTCTCCTGAGGCTGACTTAGCATGTCAAGGGACCACGAACACAGCCTGCCGTCCGTCGATATACTGATCAAATTGTGGGCATTTTGCGTTCCAACTACCCTCATACAATAAACAGGATGCTGAATGAACACAAAATGAACATATTAATTTTGGACCGTATACAGCAGTAAATTTAACTCACCGTATGCGCCGACGCTGACAATGGTGTCCTTTGTATGGGCGTCCTTTTCTGCACTCGGTTGTCCCACAATACAATCTGTCCCGAATAAGTCCCTCCGAGTATTAAATTAGGATGGAATCGAGCGAATGTGGCCGACATTATTGCACTCTGACAGTGGAATATGTATTCAGGAGTAGTTTTTTTGAATTTTGTATTCCAAATTAATGCTACACCGTCAGGATCGTTGGGAGCGTCTTCGTTGTTATTGTAGGACGCTAGTAGTAGTTCGGGATACTGTGGACTCCAGTCCAACGACGTGACGCATCTATTTCGCGACCACCTTTCGTCGTAGAATGTTCGGTTTAAGGAAATCCTTTGATGAGACTTTTCGTCACTGAAATTAAATTATTCAAAATTAATAGAAACTCTTTCCTTTCCACAAATTAATTGCTTACATGGCATCTTCTCCAGAACTTCCCGAGTAATCCGTGTATATATCAACACTTTCAGCTAAAGCTCTCTCTATTATTCTACCGGCTCGATCCATGAACCGCTGGAAGTCTTCTGATAGTATTATCATTTGTTTCTCCTCTTCGCTTAATTCCCTAACTGGACAAGTGGGAATATATTATATTAATAAAATGTATTTTAATAAAAAATATATTACAATGAAGCATACCTTCTTTAACTTCTTGCTTCGCCTGCTCCTGCTCTACAGCTGTCACAGCCGGCTGAACTTCCTTCACCTGAGGCAGACCGTGAGGTAGGATGCCCGGTGGCAGCTTGCTGCCGAAACCGCCGATGTGGGGTAGGCTGCCCTCCTCGTCTTCACCTTGTCCATCGTCATACGTCAAAACTGCGGTGAATAAGCTGTCCGTTCTATTTTTTCGTTCATTCACACGTACACAACATTCACATCAATTGGAAAGTAATTCTTTTACGTTGCCAGTCATACACTTTGATATTTTTGAAAATTAACTTTGGAGATGTGAATTTTAGAAGATCAAAAAAATGTGACTGCCATCGCAGAAGCATTACACTAATCATTACGAAACGAAATTTAAATGTTATGTCAGAATAAACATACAGAAATAAATAAACGTACGACAACGACAAATATGAGAGCAGAAGCACACGCCTGACACAGCTGCAACAGTCACATATTTCTACTATTAAAAAAAAAAGCAATGCAGCAAAAACGGTCTACATTTCTTCTCTAGTTAAATATTTCTTCAAAATAAATAACAATTATAATAAAAGGAAAAACATAGTTTTTATTGATGCAATAAAAGCTGTCTGATTATAAAAAAAAATGCTGCATTACTAAGCAATGGTAATTGTCATACACTTTTTTCACATAAATTTTCACCAACTCCGTATTAATGAGCGTAAAGGGACGAAAAAAAAATGTTACTTTCCAGAACCAAATTAAAAAAAGCATAATATATACCGGTGTGTATAAAATAGAAATATTTGCTACACACACCTGTGTTTGCAGATATAAATTAATATGTTTAAACTAAGTTTAGTGCCGTATATGCAAAAGCAATGTAACAAGGGGATGGTAAAACAGAGGTAATGGGGTAGCAGATAAAGTGCATAAATTCTAATTTTAAAATTACAAACCACAAAGTACTTAAATACAACAAATTACATGCAAGCGACGATTTGATCAAATAAAAATACATAAAGCAACTTATTATCTTATATTCCGGTTTGACATCATATTTTTTTAAATAGTTCAATGGCATAACAGATAAATCGGATAGGAATTCAAAAAAAAAAGAACCCACGTTAACAAACATTACAATAGACATTATAAAAGTTAAATTTAAATATGCAGTATATTGTTATAATGTAGGTACTTTCTATGCTTACCTTTATAGAATAGAAACTTCCTATTTGAAAGATTAAATTTAACTAACTGAAAGTATTAATTAAGTGCCACGTGAATTAGTTAGCAGGAGTTTGCAATAAATATTTTTGAACTACATACTCATTGTTTGCTTACAAACGTTAAGATTAGTTACAAAAATATTGTTTATGTATTATAAAGCTCAGAATGTTTACAACAGAATTTTGTAAATGATTTTTAGTTGTATTTTTTTTTTAAATCTATTAATGGATATATATTTGGTAATAACAGGGACAATTGAAATTGAAATAGTATCACTATGCAGGTACCTCACACAGCGAGAAAAATAGAGAAATTTCATGCGTACGCAGATTGTTAAGTAGCAGAAGAGTAAATGCACATCGAAAGAACGATACATTACATTGACGAAGAATTAATTATAGGTACCACAGCCCATCACAGCCCCAGAAAAGTTTTATAATAAATAAAATATTATCAGGTATGCTACACTAATTAAATACAATAGAATTAATC